ACACACACACACACAGAGTTAATTACACACAGTAAGGTCAGTATTTGAACCACTTAATGAGACACGCTCATGAACACGATGGCCTACGTTTTTGATGTGCAACGGGTAGCGTGTGATCCTCTGCATGGGTTTCAGTAGGAAGCTGGACAACGGCATGCCTTTACACCTGTAGTCTGTGGCAATTTTCTGATGGGAATAAAAGACAGTGTTAATAAAGACAAAAATAATCTTGTTTTCACCTTCATGCGTGTGCCTGGTTTCTAAAACGGTATGTGAGAATGAGTTTAGGCCAAACAGAGGTGGAGTGTATTTATGGTTGAACAACAAGTTAGCTATAAATGGGAAATATAAGGAAAAGTAAGAAAACAACTAAAGAAGGACAGGAAGTCCACAATTATTCTGCCACTCTTATGCTTATTGCCTACACCTTCAATTCCTTTCCTTGCTCACTGCTTCCTCTCTTTCCTACCTTGAGGAAGTTCTTGAAGTCCGGCTCGCTGTCAATGCGAATCTGGAGCAGTGTGGCTCCGTTGATCTGGCAGGAGCAGAAGCGAATGTAGGGCTGCATGTGGGACAGCTCAGTAGCCAGGATGTCTCCTATCATCTGCACCGGCATGTTCTCCCCGCCTGTCTTCTTACGAACACGTAGTGCCCTGCACACACACAAATGCACGTATGTAAACCCAAGCAGCTCTGTGTTTTTAACATTAAAATAGCTGCACTTGTGTATAATTAATTCACTCCATCAGACCGACTGTCCCTTTTAAATCACATTCGCTCTGTGATATTTACTTGAGAAATTTAGTGTTGCAGGCCAGCAGATCTTTCCAGTTAACAAAGATCATGCTCATCTCTGCTTCCTTCACCCGACCCGACTCCAACATAGGCTTTTGGAAAACCTACACACACACACACACACACACACCACACACACAGGGATAAAGGCGTTAAGATAGAAAAAAAATGAAGGATTTACACACACTATGTTCTGCCACAGCATGTAATTGTACTCAATTTGCTGTATATATTTATACCCAAGTTATTCAGCAGGACATGTGTCTGTTACCTCCAGCACTATCTGCAAGTCTTCCACATATCTCTCCTCAGTCTGTATCAGCTCATGGATGTAACCCTGTCTCTTCTTTTCCTGGGGGCTCAGTGAGTCCAGGCTGGTTAGGTCTGCACACCCTGCAGGACAGGAGGAACACACAAGAGAAGGGTTTGTATTACTTGGACAGATAAATTCAACCAGTGCACCGGCCTCAACGTAAACCAAGTCATTACTTAAACCACAGCAGCACTTCAGCACCGCCTTTACTGCCTCCTGCTGGACGTTTGGACAAAAACAAAACGTGCTGCTGCTGTTGACTGTTTCTCAAGTGAATGTGCACATTACTGAAGTCATCAGAAAGGGAGACGACGGGAAGAAGAAGGGAAACATGAAAGACGATAGTCTAGATCAGCACACACACACACTTACCTGATACAGGGTGTCCATTGGCCCATTGTGAGGTCTCCATATTAGCTGACTGTTGCTCCCTTACTGAGCCTTTACTTTCCTCTCCCTCTCCTTCTTCACCCTCATCATCTGTCTCATCCCAAAGGTTTAGAAAGGTAAATCTGCTCTGTAAAGTCATCACTATGACTCCAATTCCGTCTCTCTAATATTTTAGTTAGCTGTCTGTCTTCTGTTGCGTTTGCTCACAGTCTGATTGTTCGCTGACCCTCCTGCCTTGTTCGTCTCTTTCTCCTTCTGAACTGCTATCTTGTTATCAGACTAAAACTTCTGCCAGACCAAATCTGTTTTTCCCAAAACAGGAACGGGGATCCTTTCTCTCTCTTTCACCCTCTGATGCATGTTCAGAGTGGAAAAGTCTTGTTTTCCTTTTCTAGATTTTAGTAACTTCTGCCACTGAAATACATCTGGAAATTTTGAAAATTTGTCCAGATCAGATCATATAAGCACAGTTGAGGCTACAACGAAAAAAGAAAAGTGTTGTCTAATTTGGATGTTTGACTCACGCTGAATACAGGTGACTAAAACAGCTGAAAAGGTTGTTCACATACCATATATATCCGTCCATCTTAATCATGTGTATTGTGTTGACAATATAAACGCTGCATACAACACTCACAAACACACTCTCTCTGTGTAGAGGTGAACTGACATTTCAACAACACTTGTCAACTCAAACCAATCTTTATTTTTTATGTTTCATTTCAGAATCAGAAAATATATTAGATACATCTTCAAAAATAGTTACACCATCTTGTACCACAAACGTTCTAAATATATATATTCTCAAATCAGTTGTGCTAACAGCGCCTGCTGCTACAGTATGAACCTTTAATGCAGCTTTCTGTCAGTGTGTTTTACCCGATTCTGCTGCAGCCTTGACCAGATCTGAGGGAGGTTTGTGGTACACTGAGCCAGGTAACCTCCGAATTAGATGAGAAAAGAGAAAAACAGTGGCTACAGCTTATGCAACAATTTGATGGTGGTTAACTAAAGTACTGTAACATCTTTCATTTGATGCCAGTATTCATCAGACTGAACACAGGAGTCACAGAACCTCGTGTGAAGCTTGCATAGATAAGTGTTTTCCACTTGTTGACCTGAATAAAATGTATCCAGAGTCCGGACAATTACGATTACTATGTTATTTTTTTCATACACTATGAGCAGACATGCATTCACTTTTTGAGCAAACAAAAACATTTAGAGCAGCAGCAAAACGGCATTCAGTTACTATAAGGTGCAACAGCAGCAGTTTGTAATATCACCCCTGGAGGCAAAGTTCATGTCAGTCAGTGACTTTGAAACAGTTAGCCATATGGCGAAGAGTCGCTTCATCTCACTTCAAACCTACTTATGTTCCTTCTATCAGTAATAGCAGCTGATCCAATTATGGCTTTTGAATGTAGAGGACAAACTGTGTGCTTCTGCTTGTACCATTTTATGCTCAACAGAAGGTTTTTTAAAGGCATAAAATCCACTGCAAAATGGTTATAGTTAGCAGAGTTTCCATGAGGTGAAAGCAAAGGGTAGGCAACATTTTATCCACTCAAGTTTCTGACTCAATCCTGTACAAATGTTTCGTGGAACATTTCTATTACATTTTTTTCTTCCCGAACATATTTTTCTTTGATGGATTTAAAAAGTCAAATAGCCACATCATGCCTTGTTTCAAGCATTTGAAAAACAAGTGCATAGTGCTGGGTCCTTTATAAAATCCACAGGCTTGAGAGTTATAGAACGAGGCTGAATATAGACACATCGCTGAAGAGAGACAGAGACACAATATTGGGTTCTGTGTGAGCTGAAGACTGGCAGAAAACTGGACACTAAGAATGGAAAAAAGTATAAGAAGAATGGAAAATGAAAGAAAAGGAAGAGAGGAGAAAGGAAAAAGTGGGTGATGTGGGATGAAAAAAAAAGGAAAATAAGCATGTTGTGAAAAGAAACAAAAGGAAAGAAGAGGGACAAGCCACAGAGAGACCAACTATCCCTCTGTGTCAGATGCATGTTCGTATTAATCACATGATGATAAGCATCATAAGTTCACAATCAAAATAAAAGCCGAGGAAATCACAAAAGGCACTGAGGCTTTAACAATTCACAGAATCAGCATTGAGAGTCATCATTAAGTTGTTTCAGGTCCTGGTTCATTCACAGGCAACAGGACCTGTCGGCATTGTTTCCTCTATCACACACACACACA